CCATCACCAGCTGGCTCGGACAGGAGAACTGGACCAAGGAAAGTGGAAAGCCGGCCGCCCACCCGAACTCCCGCTTCTGCACGCCCGCCTCGCAGTGTCCGGTGATTGACCCGCTGTGGGAGGACCCGAAGGGCGTCCCCATCAGCGCCATCATCTTTGGCGGCCGCCGACCCGAGGGCGTCCCGCTCATCTACGAGTCCTTCAACTGGGAGCACGGCGTCATGGTGGGCGCCTCGCTGCGCTCCGAGGCGACCGCCGCCGCCGAGCACAAGGGCAAGGTCATCATGCACGACCCCTTTGCCATGCGACCCTTCTTCGGCTACAACTTTGGCCACTACCTCGCTCACTGGCTCAGTTTCCAGAAGAAGGCCAACCTGCAGCTCCCGAAGATCTTCCACGTCAACTGGTTCCGCAAGGACGCACAGAGTGGCGAGTTCCTTTGGCCCGGTTTTGGAGAGAACTGCCGAGTGCTCGACTGGGTCCTCCGACGATGTGACGGTCAGGATGTGGCGCAGGTAAGAGTCTTATCATATTGCAAAAGAGCATTTTTGAATCATTCTAACTTCATCTTTTTTCTAAACAGAAATCGCCCATCGGTCTGATCCCGAAGCGCGAGGCTTTCCTCCTCGACGGCCTGAAGAACGTCGACTTTGATAAGCTGTTTGACATTCCCAGCGAGTTCTGGCAGACGGAGGTGCAGTCCATTCGCAAGTACTTTGATGAGCAGGTGGGCGCCGACCTGCCCGCCGAAATTGCCGACCAGCTGAAGCAGCTGGAGGCGCGTCTCAAGAACTAAATCGGGCGATGATGATGACCTGATAAACATCAAACACACACCCACACTTCTCACGCACATCCCAATCTTCGATTTTATTCGATTTTAGCTAGACACAACAATCCCAACTATTTCATCAACAAACCCACATCACACTGACTACTACTACTACTTGAGAAATGACCAAATGTTCTATTTATAAGCCCGCCTCATCACACACACTCCAATAATAAATAATCAACTCATTCTTCTATCTACTCATTCACCTCTTGACTACCTTCTTTTATCTCCTATTCAAATGCCCGGCTACGAGCTGAGTCGCTTCACCTCCGCCTCGAGTAAGGAGGTGAAGGAGCTGCTGTGCACCATCTGCGGCGACGTCTACTGTCACCCGCTGCAGACCAAGTGCTGCTCTAAGCTCTTCTGCGAGAGCTGCATCCGCCAGTGGATCATCAGCAACCGCAGCTGCCCCTTCGACAGTCGCCCGCTGACGGCGGTGGAGGAGCTGGTGGCCGCCCCCGAGTCGCTGATCACCCTGCTCGGCCGACAGCGGCTGAAGTGCGCCTTCGTGGGCAAGGGCTGCCCCGAGGTGGTCAGTCTGGCGGACGTGGTCGACCACGAGCGGTACTGCATCTTTGACCGGCAGCCGTGCACCGCCTGCGGCTTCATGGCCACCAGCGACCACGACTGCGTCCGCTCCCTGGTGGAGTACCGGACGATGGGCGTGGCCATGCTGGCGATGATGCGCCGGGAACGGGCGGAGGTGCGCCATTTTAACGCCGAGGCGGTGAGGACGCTGACGGTCCTTCGGGCCACCATCAAGGACGTCTCCAGGGAGCTGGCGAAGAATGCTGAGGTGGCTGCTAAGCAGCAGCAGCAATCGAAACCAGTGTCGCCCAACAATGATGAACAACAGCAGCAGTCACCCCCAACAGCTGAAAATGGTTCTCCTTCTCCCTCTCCGCTGATTCGAATCGCCACCAACGAAGAACTGATGGCCGAGGCAAGACGACAGCTGCAGCTAGGTACCGCCATCACCCTCGACGGCCGACGGACGAAGAAGGAGGTCGTGGAGAGGGTTTTTGCCGCCATCAGGGAGCTCTTTCTCGGAACAGAGGGCGAAGGTGGAAGTGGTGGCTGCACTACCGTCCAGGAGGTGGTCCGCTCGCTGAAGACCTTCATGGACGGGCAGTACCTCGGAAACTGGTACTGCTCGCTGCTGGTCAGCGGCCAGGGCCTCTTTGCGCACAACATCCAGTCGGACGGCNTCGGGAGCGGGCGGAGGTGCGCCACTTTAACGCCGAGGCGGTGAGGACGCTGACGGTCCTTCGGGCCACCATCAAGGACGTCTCCAGGGAGCTGGCAAAGAATGCTGAGGTGGCTGCCAAGCAGCAGCAGCAATCGAAACCAGTGTCGCCCAGCAATGATGAACAGCAGCAGCAGCAGCAGTCACCCCCAACAGCTGAAAATGGTTCTCCTCCTCCCTCTCCGCTGATTCGAATCGCCACCAACGAAGAGCTGATGGCCGAGGCAAGACGGCAGCTGCAGCTAGGCACCGCCATCACCCTCGACGGCCGACGGACAAAGAAGGAGGTCGTGGAGAGGGTCTTTGCCGCCATCAGAGAACTCTTTCTCGGAACGGAGGGCGAAGGTGGAAGTGGTTGCGGCGGCTGCACCACCGTCCCGGAGGTGGTCCGCTCGCTGAAGACCTTCATGGACGGGCAGTACCTCGGAAACTGGTACTGCTCGTTGCTGGTCAGCGGCCAGGGCCTCTTTGCGCACAACATCCAGTCGGACGGCTACGTGGAGGTCCGCCTGGGAAGACAGCTCTGCCTGACGCTCTACAAGACCAGTGATCCGGTGGGTGCATAAAAGAAAAGAAAGAGCAATTGCAAACTGTCCTCTAACCTCCTCTTTTCTCCAGCACGGCTTCAGTCGGGTGATGCAGGGCGTGAAGGCGGGCACGATCCGAGACTTTGCCGCCATCCGCTCCGGCNCACCACCGTCCCGGAGGTGGTCCGCTCGCTGAAGACCTTCATGGACGGGCAGTACCTCGGAAACTGGTACTGCTCGTTGCTGGTCAGCGGCCAGGGCCTCTTTGCGCACAACATCCAGTCGGACGGCTACGTGGAGGTCCGCCTGGGAAGACAGCTCTGCCTGACGCTCTACAAGACCAGTGATCCGGTGGGTGCATAAGAGAAAAGAAAGAAAGAGCGATTGCAAACTGTCCTCTAACCTCCTCTTTTCTCCAGCACGGCTTCAGTCGGGTGATGCAGGGCGTGAAGGCGGGCACGATCCGAGACTTTGCCGCCATCCGCTCCGGCTTCGACCGCAGCGCCTGTCGTGAGATCGAGCGGATGGTGATGGCGGTGCTGAAGGGCGCCGCCGCCGACAATGCCGACTTCAGCGGCAGAGCGGCCGCCGCCCTGACGGCCAACTACGGCGGCAGCTGGAGCTGCCTCCTCTTCAAGGGCCGCCTGGCCGCATTCAACGTGCGCGCCCTCAAGGACCACTACTGCCTCCTGGCGACGGCAGACGTCAAGTTGCTCCTCTTTCAGCTGTAAGAGGAGCAACCTTTGTAAGTAGCTGAACTTTCACCTTCACTTTTATTGTTTCACAAAAGAAAGCCCAATATTTGCTGTATAAACATTAGTGCTGATTTGTGCTGATCTGCAGAGGGGATTTATTGTGTTGTGCTGTTTTTTGTACTGTTTGGTTTGTTGTTTTGCAATGGGCAAGAAAATGCTTAGGCGTTTTCAGTTGAACGGTGCATGGGGAAAGTATTCTCAAACTTTCTTCTACTTCTTTAGAAGAGTTCTATACAAAAATGGTACAAAACAAAAAGCTTTATAAAACTTTAATTTGCCAGTACTTTTAAAACAATAAAACAGCTGCCGAAAAAGATGCTGCTCAGGAGAGGCTGCTGCTGTCTGGCTGCTTCATTACCACTACCTCCGACTGCTCCTGCAGCCAGGTATGCTTCATCACCTGGTAGATGGTGAGTCGGAGCTCCGGCTTCACCTCCATCAGCCCCTGGAGCAGGCCGACGGCGGGCCAGCTGATGGCCGCTTTCACCGCCTCGGGCAGCGGCTCCCACTGCTCGGCCAGCTGGCGGGCGTGCATGACCTTGGCGTAGGCCACCCGTTCCGCCTTCTCCGCCGGCGGACTCCCGTAGGGGTGCACCTTCGCCAGCAGCATGTACAGGCAGACCCCCAGCGCCCAGATGTCCACGGCGAAGCAGTCGTAGGGGACGATGGCCTTCCGCTGGCCGCTGTTGTAGAGGACGTAGGCGTCGACCAGCTCGGGCGCCATGTAGGACATCGTGCCGGCCGGCTTGCTGAACAGCAGCAGACCGGACTGTTCGGTGTGCACCTGGCGACTGAGGCCAAAGTCGGTCACCTTGAGCACCTCGCGGTCGTCCTCCCAGGCCAGCAGAATGTTGCCCAGCTTCAGGTCGCGATGAGCTGTTGTGGAAATTAGAGGGAAAGAGATTGAAATCAGTTTACACTCTACTTTTTCCCCCTTTCCTTACCGATGCCTCGAGTGTGCAGGTGCTCCAGCGCCTTGGCCGTCTGCAGAAAGTACCCGCGAGCGACCGCCTCCTCAAAGGGGCCGTTCTTCTTCAGCTTGGCGTAGAGCGTGCCCAGCGCGGCGTACTCCATGATCAGGTAGCTGTGCATGATCAGCGTCTCCTCGCTGCTGCGGCTGTGGCTGTAGATGAAGAACTGCTTCAGGCCGATGAGGTTCTCGTGGCGGCAGCGGCTCATCACGAACACCTCATGGGAGAAGGTCTGCAGCATCGAAGGGACGGCCGCCGGGTTGGCGCCCACCACGTTCGGCAGAGGCGCCGGCGGCGGCTTCTTTTTCTTCGCCTGGTTCTCTTTCTTCTCCTTCTTGTCGCCCTCATTTCCCGCCCCCTTCTTGTGGCCACCACCACCACCTCCTCGATTGCGGCCGTCCCTGGTGAGGAGCATGACCTTGCAGGCGAGCGGCTGCAGCCGGCCGCCGCCCTGGTAGACCTTGAAGACGGCGCCAAAGCCGCCCTCGCCGAGCATCTTTCCGCCGCTCAGGCGGAAGCCGTGCTCCTTCAGGCGCCGCTTGTGCAACAGCCGTACGGCCAGCTCGGAGAGGCCGCCCAGCTCCTCCAGCGACTTTGCCTGCTCGTTCACCGACACGTACTCGCTGATGGGCATGCTGACCAGCGGCGGCAGCGGATCTTCAGGTGATAGGGCGGCATTTTCTTTGTCCTCAACGACCGAGGCTGTGCTCTTTTTCTTCCCCTTATTCGCCTCAACTTTGTCTTTTCCCTCGACTGAAGGCGCCTTCTTTGTGGTGGCAGTGATGATGGCGCACTCCTCCTTCTGCAGCAGACTGAGTGGATCGTTCTTCGCCGAGTGGACCACCGACTGAGTGGCGCTGGTAGGAGAAGTCTCTCCCATTGGAGAGCTTGACGGCAGGTTGACGTCGTCCACCTCACCCGAAGGATGAACTTGTTGGACTCTAATCTTCTTATCCTTTTCCTTCGCCTTCTTCTTTTGCTTGATCAGAGGTGCGCCGGCTTCCAGGTCAATCGATGTTCGCCCCTTGATCACCTTAGATGCAGCAGCGGTGTTAGATGTTCCCAGCGGATTGATCCACTTCACAAAGTCAGTCAGAGATGCCTGCATGTTTGCTTGCTTGCTCAAGAGTTTCACTCTTTTCTGGTTTGCTAAACTTGTGACGTTGAAATGAGTTGGCAGTAGAGACAGTTTGAAGGCACCTTGGTGAGCATTGTTGTGTGGAGTCAGTGTTCGACAAATGTTCTACAACACTTTCAGAGCTATAAAAAGACTACGTGGTAGTATTTTTATGTACAGCGGCTGGCACTAAACTGGTGATTCAAAACTGTTGCTGATTCTGCTGATTTCAAAGTTACAAATCTTACTTTTGCTCTTGCTTTTTGTTGTGATTTCTCAACTCTTGGAAGATGGCCGACAAAGAGGGCAAGGATGGTAAGGATGGTAAGGATGGCAAAGATGGTAAGGAAGGCAAAGACGGAAAGGAGGGCAAGGAAGCCAGCAAGGATGGCGGCAAGGAAGGCGGAAAAGAGGCCAGCAAGGAGGGCGGCAAAGAAGGCAGCAAGGATGGTGGCAAGGATGGTGGTGGCAAGGAAGGGAAGAAAGAAGGTGGTCCGCCCGCCGATCCGAAGCAGCTGACGAAGACGGTGAAGACGAAGAAGAACCAGTTCGCGCTGAACCGTCTGGTGCTGATGCTGATGGACGTCCGTCCGGACAACCTCTCCGCGGAGACCATCGACGATCTGAAGAAGATCTACGGACTGCTGCACAGCATTCACGCCCAGTACTGAGAAGTAGTACTGCATTGGCTACTCTGCAATTAGTCAGCAGCAGACCACTCTTTGTGTTTTCATTCTTTTTATCAAATAAAAGTTTTTACTTTTTCAAACAAAACAAAACGGATTCAAATTCAGATTGAAAAGAGCAGCTTACAGGTTTAATAGGATGTCGGATGACTTTTTGGAAAAAAAACTGGTCAGTTCAGTTCATCCATTCCAGTCGTAGACGCCATCATCAACGGTGTTGGTCTGCTTGAAGTAGCGTCGAAAGCGGTAGCGCAGTCGCTGGTAGTCGGGCTTCTCCGCGTACTTGAGCGCCCGTGCGTAGAGGAGGTAGTCGGCGAAGACCGGCGGCTGGCCCTCCAGCGCCTTCCTCACGTCCAGCGCCCGCTTCATCTCGCAGAGGCGGTTGTTGTGCTCGTCAAAGTCCGCCAGCGACACCTCCGACCAGGGCAGCCGCCCCTTGAGGAAGTAGAGGAAGACGTAGCCCAGCGATTCGAGGTCGTCCCGGCGGGACTGCCGCTTGCCGAGGTGGGCTGCAACAATTGGATCAACAACAAATGGAAATGAGTGTGAATGAAAAAGTAGGAAACACAACTAAAACAACAGCTTTTACGAATAGTACCGTTGACGCTCATGTAGCGCACCGTGCCCACCAGCTCGTTGGTCTTTCCCGGCCGCCAGTGGCGGTGGTTGCCGTCCTCGAAGTAGTCGGAGAGGCCAAAGTCAATCACCTTGATGCAGTTGCTGTGCGCGCCGATCATGAAGTTCTCCGGCTTGACGTCGCTGTCACCAAAGAGAAAGAGGTGGTGAAAAGGTGGGTGAATAAGAAAGCAAAAAGAGTACAACAGTTCTCTTCTCCAGCTCACCGGTAGACGATGCCAAAGCCGTGCAGGTCCTGGAAGCGGCTGATCAGCTGCAGGGCAATGTACACGTTGGTCTTGTGGTTGAAGTGGCGGCCGCACTTGACGAAGATCGACTCCAGGTCTCGACCGAGCATCTCAATGACCAGCGTCAGCCAGCCGCGAAAGGAGCCGAAGTAGTGCATCTTCGCGAAGCCCTCATTGCCCGCCATGCGCTTGTACACGCTGATCTCCATCAGCAGCTGGTCGCAGTCGCCCAGCCGAGACAGCTTCACCGCCACCTCCTTCCCGCTCTTCAGATCGACGGCGATGCGCACCTGGCCGTACGAACCGGAGCCGATCTTCCGGTCCAGGCGAAAGCGCTTCTCAATCACCTGTCCAATCAGCGGATCGGCCGCCCCGGCGGGTGAGGCCGGCTTCGTCGCTGCCTGGGAGGTGGAAGGTGCCTGCTTCACGCCGGGAGAGTGCTGCCGGGCCTGAATGGCCGTCGTCTTCGAGGCGCTGAGGAGGACCGTGCCTGAGGTGGATGGCGCTGGCCGATGATTCTGCTGCTGTTGCTGTTGCTTTGACGCCGGTCGGGCCGAGAGCGAGGAGGGGTGATTCTTTGGCATAGTGGTCAATGGTCAATGCAAGTCAATCAGTGATGATGATGAGTCGAATGGCTGGATGGTTGTTGACAACCGAGAGGAACGTGTCAGCGTCGTCTGATCGAGAAAAACAGGCGTGCAGCGGTAGAGTCTTTTTGCTTCGTTTGAGTTGCACTGTTAGTGAAGCGGTTTTTTCGAACTTTTTTGACGCGCTGTAAGTCGCCGCACACAATCAGCTTATGTTAACTGCTTCGTCATTCTCCAACTCTCGTCTGTTGACTCAACAGCAAAACTCGCAAAATTTTCAACATGAAACGGTTTCGCCCGATGATGAACTGGACTTTGAGTGGTTTGTTGTCCTTTCTGCTGGTGCTCACCATCATGTAAGTGCTCTGATCGGCGCATCTTCACAGTCCCTTGCCCTGCTTTCTTACATTTTGTTTTGTGCAGCTGTTCCACTGTGTTCTGTGGCGATCTGACTCTCGGTTTAGACAACTGCAGGAACGATGTCACCGACCAGAATGGCACTTTCTGCAGTAAAGTCAATCGTGGATCATTTTGTGGCTCGCTAACTTCGATCACCTTTGAAGGACCTGAGAGTAAATGTCGATTGGTTTTTGTTATTGATGCTAAAATGTACCATTTTGAAGAAGACGACTTTGGACTGTAAGTTTTTTCTTATCACATAGACGCTGCTTTAGAAACAACAAATTTCTAAAGTTTGATTTGTTTTTGTAGTGGTGGAAGTGAACATTTATGGGAGTCAAAAGGAAGAATGATATGGAAAGTCCTTCTATTTTTGCTAAATACAAACTACGAAGATCCAGTGACTGACGAAGTAGGAATGAACTTGGCTGGCAAAGCAAATTTAAGAGGCTACTACATTCTCAACAACTCTATTGTAATTGTCATGAACAAAAAGAAAGCTATTGTCACTAAGAAAAACTTTGAGATTGTGTACGAAAAAAGAGCTTCTACAAAATCACGCTGGCAATTTATACAAGAAGCACATCATAAATGCAAGTATAAAAAGATCGACGTTTCATTAAACTAACACATCATTTGTACTCTACTTTCTTTTAGGGTGTCAAAACAGTAAGTTATAACTCTGTCTCAGCTACTTTTTACACAAGTGCTTATTAATTTACCTTTTTTGTTAGGAGGGTGGTGGAAACGGTTTATGGCATGGCTTTATGAATATGATTGTAAACGGGATAGTGATGGTGAATATGTTCATCCTTGGACAAGCGAAAAAAGAGGAGGAGGCTCTTCTGGCGGTTTAATATATGATCGACCCTCATTTCTTGGTCCTGATTACGGTTCTAGTTTTGGAAGATACAAGCGTGCCATTAACTCAACTGGCCCCGAAACTATTTTGAATGAGTTCAAGTTGAAAAACCCAATGTCAATTGTTCAGTTGGGGAACTCATCCCTTGCCTGGGCTATTGGTAAGTGTCACTCGTTCATCCAAGTCTATCTATCTACCACTGGCTCGGTTACATTTCAGAGTTTGAAGAAAATACTAAGCACACTGTGATTTACAACTTTGAGTTGAATGAGCAGTATCACTTTAATGGTCGTGCTTATCGAGACCGCTTCTACTTGGTCTTCTCGGAGGGAAAAATGTGGCTCCACAGTCGCGTGGAAGATGCCTCCTCAGAAATGAATCCATTTTATTTCCCACCTCGAGGTTTTGTCCTCTACACACATTTGTACCTGCTTGACGATCGAAGGGTGAGTGTTCGGTGAGAAATGTTTGTTTTTTTTTCAAAACTGACTTTATTACATTCAGGGATGCGTCTACACAGTTTTCCAATGGGGTGAAACTAACATAACCGCTAGCAAAAAGGATGGAACGTTTCATTTGGAATTTTTTCTATCCGCAACCCCATATGAAACATTTTTCAAGAACTGCACCGAGGAACCAGTTAATTTGGACTCGAACCGCTGTAACTACGTCGCTAGTGGCAAGTCCTGGCGATCGAAAGGCATTTTCTCCACTTGGCACATTCTTCTCGCTGGAGTGGCCATTGTTTTGCTCATTGCTGGGCTTCTTTTCGCTTTCAAAACCATCAAAGATCGCTCGAAGATGAACAAAAAGACAAAGTCGTCAGCATTGGTGAAAGCAAAGGTGATGAAAAATGGCAAGGGCACTACCAAAAGCCAGTCGTTGAATTCAACCGGAAAAAGCACCTTTAAGCAAGTGTCAAAACCTTCAAAGTCGGCAACTGTGTAATGTTTTTAATTCATGATAGTTCTCAAATCACAAGCAAGCAACCTATTGTCAAAGCCAAAAAGCAAGTCCCCTTCATAATAGCACTTTACCCACCACCCGCCCACCCACTCTATCTTTTCATCTTTCCCATTACTCTTTTCTCCCTTTCTGATGATATTTATTTTCTTTTGTAAACTACAGTTCTGCTTTTACCCGATACTATTTATTCTTTGTGCATTCTCCTAGATTCGTGAAAGTCTTGCAAATATAAACTTGATTAACAGTATACAGGCTCCCCAACTACGTGCAAAAACAGCGCCATCATGCACAACAGTGAGCTTTTTGCGATGAAATGGTTTGCGATGAAATGGTTGCGACTCGCAGGACAGTGACGAGCAAAGTCGAAACAGTACTGCTATTTTCATTTACGTCAATGTTTCACAAAGCGGCCACAACCCTGCACACTGTCAACAGTTGCTCACTGTAGCTTGAGCCAGCCACGATGGCAGACAAATCTGCCTTTTCAGTTCGCTTCATCATCAATCCTCTGATTTTACTGTACCAGAGAGTGTTTCCACCACCATCAACTACTGCCCCACCCACATCTGCTTTTGAATCACAATGGGCAATCTGGTTCTATGGCTTCCTCAACTTCCTTTGTTTCAGT